TATGTATGTATGTATGTATGTATAAACAAAAACTATAAAAAAAATACATAACTTAAAAATTGACCTACTAATTAAATAAATATAAATAATTTAAATATAATATTTCAATCACAAATATATTATTTTACTAAATTATCTTAGTGTATTTTTTTTGAAGTTACCATCACAAGTTAAATGAATATAGAGTAAAGTAAGAAAGAATAACACTGATTTCACTATATTTCATAAAATATTATGTTTAATAAAAATACTTCAATCATACAATTGATTTTTTTTTAAAAAAGAAAAACTAATTTGATAGGTTAATGTAAGTTTTAACCTATTGTATTAGTGAGTTGATGAGTTGAGTGAATTGTTGAAATTAATCCATTTTGACATTCTTAAATAATAATATATAGGTATAGTTGTATGTTTTTATTTTAATGATATAATATTTTTGGAATTTTGAAGAAGCATATTAATCATTGGTTATGAAACACTTATCTAAAGCATGTAAATAAGAAAATTCTCTAATGTTTTATTTGAGGGAAGGGGAAGAATTAAGAGAAATGAAAGAGAATAGGCGAGAATTGATTTGATATGAAATATATATAAAAAATAGTGTGAAATTTGTAGTTATTTGGTAAAGTAAAATTAGGTGAGAAGTAAATATTTTAAAATTATATTTTATATAGTTAGACTTTTATGTAAAAATATATTATTTAGACAATTACATAATATTTACCCTTTACTAACTAACTATTTAGATAATAGTATAGGGGTAATTGTCTAAGTATTTTTGGTGGAAAATTTCACATAAATCCACCCATACAGAGTGAAATTAAATCCATATGGACTCCACCAGAATTTCCTTACAAACCTACTTAAAAATCATTTCCAACCACACATTTTTTTTTTATAATTTTTTTTGATAATCTCTCCCTTTCTTCTCAATTATATATTTACTAAACCACTTCCTCTAAACATACCATTAAAGACTTATGCATAAGCAGTTTTTTTTATTACACATGTGTCTATTTGCTTCCCTCTACTTTGATGGTTGAGATTAAAAAAAAGATAAATTCTTTCTGGTGGAACTCAATGGATATATCAGCAAAAAGTATAAAACGGCTAAGTTGAAAAGGCTTAACTATAAAAAAGAAATTTGGTGGATTGAGCTTCAAACATTTCCACGAATTCAACTTGGCTATCTTAAGGAAGCAAGGTTGGAAACTTCCTACCAACAATGATGTTATAGTTACAAAAACCTTCAAAGTCAAATATTTTCCAAATGGGGATTTTAGAAATGTCCAACTAGGGCATAATCCAAGTTTTACAAGGCATAACATCCATACTTCACAAGTATTGATCAAGGAAGGTATGAGATGAAGAATTGAAAATGGACAATGTTAATATTTGGACACAACCTTAAATTCAAAATGCACAAATGACTTATGTTTCAACACCACACCACATGGATTACAACATCTCATTGTAAGCTCTTTTATCAACCACTCATCAAACATGGAGATTAGATATTACTGAACTAATTCTTAATAATAATGTTATATCCAAAACATCAAGTTTTGCCTTTGATGAATAGTTCAAATTGTTATAAAATCATTTGGAAGCTCATATCTAATGGTGAATACAATGTTAAGTATGCATACCATTATTTAATGGACAATTTTCTTTCCAATGAGACGTTCAAAATTGCTGGAAATTGGTTACTGCTATGAGATCTACATATACCACCAAAGTCAAGCATTTCCTTAGGCGTGTTCTACGTGAATGTTTTCCTACAAGGTTACGTTTTCAATCAAAAGGTGTTGCATGTCCTATTGCTTATTATTGTGAGAATAATCTTGAAAATGAATGACATGTTTTCTTTGGACATGCACAACAGCTGAAGATTCTATGGGAATCGTCTAGCCTTTGAGAATTCATTTTGGTGAAGCTCTAAAGCGTAGAATCTACTTTTAATCATATTTTTTTCTATGCTAGAATCTTTGATTATTGATCTTAAAGGGGATTTTGCAATGGTTCTTTGATGTCTATGGTAGAGGCGAAATGATAAAGTCAAGGAGGACAGAAATAAGCACATCAAGTATTTATATCACTCAGTTTTCAATTCTTCAATGAGTGGCTACATTCACGAAACCACGTTCCTACCATAATGAAGTTGAATATAGCAACAACAGATCAATGAAAAAAAAAAAAAAACTAGCTCAACGGATTTTGAAGTGCAATGTTGATGGCACAACTTTTAAACAAAAAAATTGTTTTGGAGCTAGATTTTGTTTAAAGGGTGATTACAAACGTTTTGTTTTGGCCAAAACATGTTGTGCAAAGGCATGAATTTTTCTACAAGCTTTATAATGTGCAATTGAGTTGAATTTTCATTCTATTGTCTTTGAGGTTGATTGCAAATCAGTCATTAACACTTTTTTCTCTCAACAGACAAGGAAGTTTTGAATTCCATTTTATTTTGGCAAAATGTAGAAATATTTTAATTTCTATTCCAAAATCGATGGTGAGTTGTGTTAGGAGTCAAATGAACAAAGTAACCCATTCTTTAAAACTAGGACATCTAAGTTTTATGCTAAGTACCAATTATTCGAACATATTTCAATTTGTATTTACAATATTATTACAAATAAAATGAAATAAGTCTTCTTCCTCTAAATAAAATAAAAAAAATACAATACGACATTTTATTCTAAATAAATTATAAATTCTCCAATATTAAAGTACGAGTTTGTGAGATTAACCATGAATGTTTGTAATAATTTTTTTTAAGAGGCATGTGTCGCTTCTTTTTACTATATTATTTATCATCATATATCATTTTTCAAAGACTGATTATAACTCGTTGATTATTAGGTTCTATTTATTTAAAAAACACAAAAATAATTTGTTAAGTAAACCAATAAATTGAATCAAACTGAATGTAAAAGATTGATTTGTTTTCTTGGTACATCATATTTCCTAACCACACAACCGTATTACTTTATATTTACCGTGAACATATTCTATATTTTTATAACCAAATACGATGGATCTACCATGAAAATCTATAAGCACATAAATCAAAATGTTTTTTTTAATGTAAGAACCAAATTAAAGAATAATTTATTTTCCTGAACGAAAAACAATATTAAATATAAAAATAATTTAATTTAATATTTTTCTGGACCCTTCGGAATATTTTAAGCGGAAATCTTACACAAATACACGATAGGGCACGAACACAAAGCATCATAGCTTTCAGAGTTTTGACCTACAACACTCCAATCCTCTCTTCTCGTGTTGTAGCCAGCCGTCACCATCAATGGCGGAAACTGCTGCCGACAAATCTCAATCTCTCGCCGAGGTACTGTTATTCTTCCTATCTCTTTTCCCCTTTCAATTCCGCTTCCACAATCTTCGATTTCATTCATTATAGGGAAATTACAAATCTGACCTTGATTTAGTTAATTCACAATCTGGACTGGAGTACTTTCAACCTAATTTTGATTAGGTTTCAATCTGTACTCATTTTTATGGTAGCGTAGTGTTTTTTAATGTGCCTTATTGAGCTTAATGGAATTATTCACATTTTCTTATATGTTATATCTACCGAAAGTTTTAAGCCTGATCTATATCATGGGCGCAAAATTCAGCCTCTGTTTTGGTCGAATAACGTTATTCTAGGGTCTTTTGTTTTAGGTTTTGGTGGAATTGAGGTTTAAAATTGATTTATTATGTAAGAATTCATTTTTATTTGGATGATAATGTAAAATCACTTTGAACTGTAATTATAGATATGTTTTATGGTTGTCTACGTAAAGAGCCAGTTTTTGTCAACAGAAGAGTTAAAATTTTTCAATTTTCTCAATCAATCCTGGCATGTGCAGAATGATTTTGGATAAAAAAAAAAAAAAAAAAAAAAAACAAACAAAAACAGAACTTCACAGAGTAAATAAGGTAGGGATGCATTTTAGTAGATGATATTGGGATTTTGAATCAACCGAAATGTTATTAATCTCGCGTTCCATTGTACTTCAATCTGCCATGATTTTATTCGGCTTATATTATATGAAAATGACAAAAGGACTTGATACTAGGAAGAGAATACGACATTGGGGATTTTGCAGGTTTCATGTATGTATGCTTAGTCATTTAAATAATGAAGTTGTCAGTGTGTTATTCATTGTGGATGATAAATCATTTATATGAACTCCATGTCATGGATATCGAAAACTCAATAGGTACAACACTGCTGAGGTATGATAAGCTGCTAGCTTCTTTCTTTTTGGATAGGCTGGGTTGACCTTTTCCTGCAATTTCTTCAGCTCAAAAAATATTGTTTTATGCCTTGATGTTCTTTAACACTTTGATTATGGGTCTGTTTGTCATATAGAGTGTGAGATGAAGATAGTGACAAAAGTTTTCTTGACTTTGCAGCAATATTATGTGAATGACAAGCAGGAGAAGACAGTTGTGACTGAAAAACCTGTTGAAGTCAACGAAGTTGAAAACCCAAAGGAGGCTGCTTCTGGGGAATCTGTGGCTGAGAAAATTGTGGAAGCAGTAACTCCTGTTGCCCCTGCAGTTGCTCAGGAAAGCAGTGAAGTCACCCCTCCTCCTGCTGCTGAAGAAAACACCGAAGAGCAAAGTAGTGGAAATGCTGAAGAAAATTCTGGAAATGAAGATGCAGCTGAAGAGACCCCTGAAATTAAGGTGACATTTATTTAATTGAATCACTCGTCTAGAATTGGTACTTGAGAACATGATAAGCAAGGTTGATACTTGTTGTGTCAATTTGTTCATATTTGTGCTATTATTTTCCAGCTTGAAACTGCCCCAGCCGATTTCCGTTTTCCAACTACAAATCAAACCAGGCATTGCTTTACCCGTTACATTGAATATCATCGGTAAGTCATACTTAGCTTTTATTTCTACTGAGCTCGTTGTTCACACACTATTCCTTTATTTTAAGCTTCAAAACACTTGTGCAGATGTATAGCTGCCAAGGGAGACGGTGCATCAGAATGTGACAAGTTTGCTAAATATTATCGTTCTCTTTGCCCCGGTGAATGGGTATGTATTTTAAACATTGAACATTGTGGAATATCTGCTAAGTGCTAAGCAGTAGGGTCTGCTTGTCTAATAAGATTTATTTACATACTGACATCTTTTTGCTAATGTCAAATTTCCATCCGTTTATGGTCCTATTGTGTTCTTTTTCACGGAAATGGAATTGCTTTTACTAGTAAAATAAAATCTTGTAAGGAAATTCATCTAGTATGCTACAATTTTAGAATTTTTTTGCTTCTTATCCACTTCTCATGATATTTGTCTTAATTCTAAATCAGAAATATTGAAAGATAGGAAACATCTATGAAAAATGACAAATAACTATAGTTATTATTTTATTAAATATGTATGGTTGCCTTATGGAGAGGAAGTTCTTCTTGTGTATAAAGAGATTAGAGGGAGTTCCTGTATATTGATAGATGCATGATACTTTGGACCCTCATAGTTTTAAATTATAAATGTAAAAGCTAATTTCTGTCGTCTTATTTCATCTCCGTGCCATCTTTTAACATTTTATTATTCCTTCATTGTTCAACTCGTGTGGCTTAACCACTTGGATTTAGTTTATGAGATCTTTGAGATGTTCAATATTCCTTCTCAGATAAACCATGCTTCAGTTACCTGATAAAGTACTATATATGAAGATCTTCATTTTATTAAATGATTAGAACCATATTTTTTGTTTATTGAATAGAAAAGCCACACTTGATTGGCTTGTGAAGCATTAACAACAGAATAAACTCAATGTAATAGAGATAACATTTAATGAGTGGGAATCCTTGATAGATATGATTCTAATATGTAAATATAAATAAGAAAAGAATGTTAGATTGTTAGTTAGTTAGCTACTGTCTGTTAGGATTTTATGGCTGTTGGGTAGCTGCCTTTAAATAAAGCATGGCTTTTTTATTTAGAAAAGACTGAATGATAATAGAAGTACAGTGCGCGGTTTCTTTGATCTCTGTTTCTGTCCTCTTTCTCTCTATCATCTCTTTTCTGTTCTTCCTTTTTCCCCTTTCTTTCTTCTTCTTTCTGTCTTTTTGTTTCTCTCTTTCCCACCTAAATTCTATTTCAGATTAATTACGAATGTGTTAGAGAAAGTTGGGATTTCTACCAATTGTAGAAAATATGGTAGAATCTTGTCTTAGGTGGTTTGGGCAAATGTCTTGATTCTTTTAACACGTGTGAAGGCCAACCTCAAGTTTCACATTTAGAACCAAAAAGTGAGTTACTTGGCTTCAAAGTACAAAATTTTCATGGGTAAAAGATGAATTTCCTTACAAGAAACCACTCGGTAGAATTTATTGTATACTGTAACTTGGATATTTTAAATGAATGCTTGATGAATACATTTTCATTAGCATTTGCCATCAGGTCAAATATACATATAATTTTGATTTGTTTCATTTTTTATTCTTAATGTCTTTAGTACATTTCACAAAAGCAAATCTTCTTTTAGTTTTTTTTTTTCTGCTGCTGCTACCGATCTTGAAATTACACATGTGCTAACAGCCCGTTTTCGTTAACTTGTCTATGCATCAGGTTGACAGATGGAATGAGCAAAGGGAGAATGGAACATTCCCAGGCCCACTGTAGGTGGTGCATATCTTAAATAGCTGCACAATTCACTTGCAGTATTTACATTTAAAATTTCTAGAGATAAAACTCCCATACATTTGGGGATGTACGCATTGGTTTAATAAGAAATTTTGGCTGTCTATTTAAACTATAAGCTTGAGTTGAACAATTTTCAGGAAACACTTCTGGTGAAATGTCCAGAGATATGTTATAATATAACTGGATTCTTTACGCAAAGGGATTGATAGTTTTAATCTTCTATAATCTTACCCCCTTCCCCCTGCCGGTATTCAAGATGAAATCCATGTTATTTTAGAAAGAAAAAAAATGGACGCTTGTTTGACAGTATTTTTTAAAAAGTTTTTAAAATTATGCAAATATTTGATAAATAATCTTTTTCAAATATGCATGAAAATAGTTTCGCTGTAGTTTCTTGTTTAACTTATTTTCGAAAGACTTTTTGTTTTTTTTTTTTCTGTGAACTTGTAAAAAACAAATATTTTATGGGAAGTTATTATTCCTCTACCCCTCCAAATAAGAGTATTCAAACAATGTTTATTTAGAAGGAAAAAGGAACTAGATGGAAGGTAGAAAATAGGTTTGAGAGAATAAAAGAGGAGAAAAATGGTTAAAATAAATGTGCAGAATTTTAAGTTTTAATAGAGAGAAAAAGGAAGAATATATATATATATACACGTTATCTAATTGTTTAACGGAGAGAAAGAAAATAAAGGAGTAATATAGTGTATTATTTATCCAATAAAATAAGATAAAAAAGAAAGTTTTATACAAAATAAATGAGATGAATATATTGGTAAAATTTTAGAGTAAATTAGATTCATGAAATTTGAGTTTTCTCTTGTAAGGGTAAATTTTAGAGTTAATTATCTATACATTGTCCGTGTAAAATTTTTTTACACTGATAATTAATTATATCATTTAATTGTGTCATGTTACTGTAAACACAATTACTTTTAACAGTGACATGACATAATTAAATGATATAATTGGTTGTCAGTGTAAAAAAAACTTTATACTGACAGTGTATAGATAATTATAAAAAAACTTTATACTAGTAGTGTATAGGTGATTAACTCTGCTATATGTAGTAAAAAAAAAAAGAGTAGTAGAACCGCCTTTTTTTTTTGGTTACTTAATAAAATAAATATTTATTTTTTGGGACCATTGTAGTTGTCACCATTAAAAAACGACGAATGGATCATAGATAGGACAGAATCGTTCACTTTAATCGTTCATTTTGAAAACAACAGTTTGTTCGTGGTTCGTAATTCTGGGACCATTGTAGTAGCTCCGTTAGAGAATACTGTTAACGCAACTTGATGAGTGCACTTTTTTTCCCCCTATAAAAACAGTGATTCTATATTTATGATAGATTTTAATGTGTTTCTTTACAGAACTTTAGAAACACAAAAAAATAATTTTCTAATCATAAATAAAAATAAAAACAAATTCAACACTGAGTTTCTATAGTTCCATATTAGGCTTTTAAGCAAATATGACATGTATTTCCTAATATTGTCAAAAGAAATGGGAATATACGTAAAAAAAATACAAATATATGTTCATAAGATTAGCATTTATCCAGGGATAAAATTAGAAAACTAATTAGTATATTTGCAGTTTAATTCAATTTTGAACATGAAAACCAAATAAAATAAACAAAAATACAATTTTTTATTTTTTATTTTTTCAGCAAACAGTTAATTCATTTTTTGAGGCTATCGATTCTTAAACAAAAAAATTGTTCTCTCACTAGTCACTCCATGTGCATGAATTCAAAGTCAAAGTTTCCAGTTAAAAAACAAGAAAATCAAGGTCTGTTCCGAGGAAGATTATATGGTTCTACTATAAGTTTTACAATTTGAGTTTGGTAATGTCAATCTTTGGTGGAGCATATGTATATGCCTCATAGTTGATTTGTTGGCCCAAGGTACTCAGTTTTGTGAAAGTGGTTATCAGATCAACCTGAAAAAAATCGAGAAAAGAAACCAAAGAAAACAACAAAGTGAATTTTCAAATCAAACAAAAGCTCCAAGAACTTCTTTGCTGCCATGGATGGAGCTATACAAAGAAAAATTTACCTCATAATCTGTCTGAGAGACTGTTTCACGACTCCTTTGGTATTTCTGAACCCATGGAGCAACATCAGGATCACTGGCCAATAAGGTTTCTGTTGCACTTTGATCAGGACCTAAGAATGCAGACAAAACAGCCACCTGAACGAAAAAAAGAAAATGAATTAGTAATATCAACTTCCCTTTTATGATACAGGTAGCACTAAAGGATGTATGTTTTTTTCACTACTTTCCATTTCAATTTATTTAACCCTCTAGTCTAGTGTCCATTTTGACATTCCAAAAGTCTGCTGCGGTGTCGTATGAAAGAATATAATAAGAAAAGTGAAAACACAACGGGTCTATGAAGTGTTCAATAAAAGGTGGGAAGGAACAAAGCTTGAGTAAGAAGTTCTAACATGCAAGGATGACATGAATGAATGTGAAAAGACTAGCTAGTGCAAGCTGAAGGCGTTAAGAATGGAAGGAAAGGAAACTAAAAAAATTGTTAATATATATGAACATTTGTATGGCCATTAAATGGTAAAAATAAAACCAATTGAGTCATGGAACAAGGGTATCTTCACATCAACAATAAAATACGAACCAATGAGTCAAGATCACAATTTTTACTCTGCATATATGTTTTAGTTTGTATGCCTTTCTACATATCAGTTAGGAAAAACAGCGATGAAGTATGTGAAGTACCTGGCGAGGACCAAAGCCTACAGCAGAAAACTTGTCTTTCATTTCCTGTACACTTGCCTTCTCCCATATTGGAACTCTCCCCTCTGGATCTGGGTCTTGAGCATCAGCCCTACCAAATTGCTTATCGAACAAACCCCACTGTTCCACAGCAAAAACCACATGCATTAGCAAATGAGATATGTCAGTAGTATATTCTCTTTAACACATTCTTTAAAACACTCTCTACTAGCATTTTTCTTCTTGTTAAAGTAAAGATACTATAAGCATATTATCGAACAAACACTTGAGGATTGCCACTGTAAAGATATTAAGCAGATTATAAGTAAAGAATATGCAAACCTGCCCATTTGATCCGTATGCATTGTACAGTATATTCCCTTTCTCCTCATTTCCACCACATTTGCGAATGGCAGCAGCTAAAAATGTAGACTTGACAGCACTTTGTGCTACAAATAATTAAATCAATAGTCGGGAATCAGAACATATCTACACAACCACAACTTCTACACCTACCATAATCAAAAATAATTTTAAATAAATGGTCACATTTAACAGAAACATAGAATACACATGAAAAAAAAATATTGTTAATAACTATTAAGCTTCTACTAGGTGATGATAAAAAGTATAACCTGCATATTGGATCAGATCTGCATAGGAAATGGGTCCACCTTTGGCATACGAGTCTATCTCCTTTTTTGCTTCCTCTAATAAACTCACGGCAGCAGAAAGCCCTGTATTTTCTGGTCTACCTATTTCTGAACTTCAGGCAGAATTAGAAAAATAAAAAGGAGATAATATTAGATTATTAGTAAGTAAAATGAAGTGAAATTTCTGATGAATACAAGTGGAGGAAACCAGAAATTGCTAGCGAAACCAGAATTTAAGATACAATACAAATAAATAAGAAAGCACAACTTAGAAAGTACAAAAAAAAAAAAATTCTTAGAGAGAGAGAGAGAGAGACCTAAAAAAGTAGGACTAATGGATGCAGGCATGCAGAAATAACAACCATCTCAGTGTACCTTATTTAGCAGACATTGTTTTCATAAAGAGAATTAAAGAATCCACCTCTGATTATTTGTTAACATCATTAAATGTAAAATATTAACTATTAAGGGGTCGTTTGGCTTAAGAAAACATTTTATATTTTCACTTTATTTCCATTTTTTCAGAATTTTGTGTAGAAATAGTGAAAATAACTTTTTTTATTGTTTTCTATTTTCATTTTCTGTTTTCACTTTTTTCCAGTATACACTTCAGAAAACAGTAAAAAGTAAAATAAAAAAATTTTCTCAAACCAAATGGCCCTTAGGTTCTATTAGTTATAGGGAACAATCTCATCAATTTTAAAATCGAAAAGAAGTACCTGAACCGTATAGAGCCATTTGGACCACCAGATTTTGTTGCCTACAGACTTGAGCATACGCCAATCAATATTCATTTTAAATGATGGAAAACAATTATGGTAAATAGGTAAAACATTTGTGTGTTTTTCTCACCTTCTCATATGTCAAAGCATCATTTAGAGCCAGTTTCAGTATGGATGGAGTAAGATCAGGATTTCCCTGAAAAGCAGTTCTTTGTTAAATTAGATTATATCCATATCAGGAGTTATATTTTCTGGATGAATAAATAAATGCACCTAGGAGTTTGATAAATGTATCGTCTGCAAAGAAACAATTTTTACAGTTTGTAAGTCAGCATATTATACCTTTATGGCTGTAAAAAGTGTTCGCCTAACTTGAGCTGTAAGAATAGAAAAACTCAGCCAAGAAGGGAGATCAGTAGAATTTGACATGACTGATAGTCACAAGAACATGTAGACCAAAAGGATCTTACATTGAAATTCAGAACGCTGCCTGCGCTGTATCAAGTCAGCAGCATTAGCCATTCCAGCAAGCGAACCTGAGCTTCCAATCAATTCCTACAAACAGATACAACTGATCGAAACTCATCATCACATCAATCATATCCACAAAGTACATATCTTATATTGTATTCCATTAAGTATCTATATCTGAATAACTAGTGTTGCATTAGATATTCGAAAAAACAATGGTATATGAATGACAGAGACAGAATGAGGCAACAAATATGAAGAGCCATTGGATTCCATGCTGACTGCAGAAAATTCGGATTGGTCATGAGGCAAATCTGATGGTGCAACGTGTTAGCCTTCCTACTTGAACTACTCTGATGATAACAAACAAAACTCGGAACTAAAAACAGAAGGTCAGAAGCACATAAAACTTGATGGATTTTGATAATTTCACTTGATCTTTGACCTGAGACATAGCTGTGCAAGATTATGCAAAGTTATCTATTGATAATAGAAGATGAAAAACTGGAAGCTATGGGAAGAAGAGATGTTCATTTTTTCAAGGATGAGCAACTACAATCTTGACATACAAATCAAAGAGAAATGAAGCTATATCAGTTAATGTTTTATAATGAATGAAACAGGCATCTTTTCAAAGACAGTTGCTGGACCTATGTATAGAAGATTACATTAGATAACAAAAATGAACAAAATATGGCTAAGAGTAAGAAATAAATCTACTCAAGAGTCGACAACTTTGTGCTGATATGAGTTGCAGCAATTTTTTGTCTAAAAACACTTAGATGAGATACTTGATAAGACTATGCACTATCTGATAAGCATTTTTCTTGGTAAAAAAATCTTTATCCAAATGAGTTTTGAGCCCAGTGAAATATCTCTAACACTTCCAAAATATCTTGAAATGTTTAAATATTGTACAAAAAAAGCAAGGCAGCCAGATTAATAAGCTATCTTTTGGAAAATATCTCATTAAAGGACAGACTTCCATTTTTGGATTTTGTCCTTGTACAGCCACCAAAAAAAAATGCTGGAATGACTGTCCAATTTCTATAAATGAGCACTACTTGAACAGGATGAAAACAAACCAGACAATATATTTTGCCACATTAAAGAGGAGTACTGTAGGTTTATCAGGAGATACCCTGCCAGAGAAGCACTCTTGGATTTATTTTCCATTCTATTACACATCAGTGTGAGCTAGGGATATTGGTTGTAGTCTTGGAGAGTGACTTTGAGGCTCAAGGTGAAGAGTTATGGTGCAACTAATTGGTAAGGCTAGATGATTCAAAGACCACTAAGTGATAAGATAGTGGAAAAACCCCACATTGGGTTGGGACTAGATGTAGCCTCCAAGTTACAAATCAAACATGTATAAAATAATAAACTCCTTGTGCAAGCACTTTCTTCTGTTTATCTCTCATTTTTGGTTTGATAGGTTTTTATAGTTTGATGTGTGTTTCAATTTTCATTTTTGTTTTCTAACATCAGGTATCTCATAGCACAGATAAGCTACTTGTCATCCATCGGACTTACCTTTATTAGTTGTATTTTGCTTCCTGTTAAACATCTAATAGGTATATGAGCTGTTGGGTTTTGGTCTGCTTCCTATGTATAAAATAGTCTCAAATATGTAGGCCTATTATGTCTCACTTAACCAAGTGGAGAGGGATCAGATTAGGGACAAGAGTGTGACTCATCATTAAGAAAGAACAACATCAAAATATACAGAGATGAGGGCAAGTTCTGTTGTCGAGTTCGCATACCCACCTGACAGCAATTTTTTATTTGCAACCAAAGATTAGTTCATCATTGGATTAGATTGAATTTTTTACAGCAGGTTCATAGGACGCGATTCTTTATTTTCAACGATTGGATCGTCGAAAAGAGGTCTGGAATGGGAGAAAAACGTCTCACAAAACAACTCAGATTTTGGAACTTTTCATCTTATTTCTCATTTGTAAGCAATTGTGTTTGATTTATTTTGACTGATTGTAAGCATTGTTTGGCGCGTTCTTCGAAGACTTTTTTGTACTTTTTGTTGATCATAGTAGAGTTTTTTTTTGTCTGAACAACTCATGATTTTTACCCTTACATTAAAGAGTTTTCCATGTTAAAAATCTGTGTCTCTTGAGTGTTTAGACTCTAGATTATCTAATTTTGCTTTATTTTGTTGGTGCTCCTCACTGATCTTGCAAGTAGGGGGTTTAATTTTCACAGCGATATTACTTTTATTGAGTTTTTGTTATTATGTTGGACTTTCCTCCATCATGAGCTACCTAACTAACATCTGGATCTTATTATTTACTTTGTTAATAAGAGACTCATCCTCTACATAAGCTAAAGCTATCTTATAGTTATCAGAGTTGCTCTTTCAGTCTGTATTTGCGAAAGTTGTAATTGCAGCATTGGGTGTCTCCTTCTGAGGTCTTCTGCCACCAACACTAGGAGGTGGGATGAGCTTTTTGTAAGCTATTAAAAACAGTTGTTGGGAAAATTAAATAGCGAACACAGTTCACCTAACCCTGAGTAATTTTAGGTAACGTTGTTGCTGGAACCATTAAAGCCCATCCACATCAACCACAGAAAATTTGGCAAGCCCTCAAATATGGAAAATAAAAAAGAGAGAACAAAATGCAAATAACATGGTTTCAAGACCAGAATTAACAGTTGGAAGCATAACACATTATCAAATGAATCCCATTATCGTTAAATCGTTAAATGAGAACAAATATCCTAGTTAATTCATGTAAAAAACATGACATTGTAAGAACATAAACTTAACAGTTTCCCACTTGCGGCCACTGTAAAGCATACTCTTCAAATAGCAAGGGTAGAACTTTCAAAAGTAATAAAGAAATATTACCCAAAAAAAAAGTAATAAAGAAATAAATAGAAAAGAAATAGGGAACACTTGGGATTTTCCAAAAAAATTGTTGTAGAATGGCTCTTACCAAGCCAACGGTTGCTCCAACGCAGTGGAGAATGTCTCTCCTTCTCCAATGGAATTGCTCTTCATCACTAACATTGCTTATGCTTTTACTACAATAAATGGACACCTATGAACACATTGAACAAACAATGGTATAAGTTTATAATAACTGACTTAAAATAAGTAAGCAACAATTGAAGCTGAATTGCTTAAATGATTGAGCATTTCTTTTGTCAAATAAATGCAAAATTCCAAATCCATTTCTCAGTATTCATGAACAATGCAACATAGCAGCATCTGTGAATTGGGGGAAACCAAGAGTTGCAACTGCATTGTGTGTTGAGAGACAAGTAGAGTTTGCAAAAGTGGAAACTTACTGAACGAGGTTGGTATCTGGTGGAGGGTGGTGCATCATAAGCCACAAGTGGAAGCAGAGAAGGGCAAGTTGAGAGGAAGGAGACACCCATTGCTGCAATCACAAGTCACAACTACGTAATTTGGTGTCTCTAGAGAGAGAGAGAGAGAGATGCAAAAGCAGAAAAAATGGAAGCTTTAAGTTATGTGGAGTGTAGAAGGTCACACTTGATCTGCGTTATCCAGAAAATCTATTACCATTGGATTGTCTCGTATCTGACCCAATCACAAATCTTTCACCCTTTCCAACCAACCCAACTATGTTACTGTTGACCAAACTAGGTACCAAAACACTGCATGAGATTCGCTTCTATATTTCATTCATTTTTAATATTTAATTTCTAGACAAATAAAAAATAATAATGATAATAATATACAATAATTGTGTTAAAAGATACACAGCAATATAATAAAAATGATGTGTAAATATTAGTATTCATTTTATTTAGAAAAAGAATAAATTATGCTTATTTTTTATTAAATGATGCAAGTGTTATATTGGGGAAGTAAAATATATTCTTTTATTTTGATACTAAAGGTGATCAACCAAATTTTTTAATAAAAATTAATTATTAACAAAAGTAATAAATATTTTATATCAATAATATAATATATTTAAAAAAAATTTCACTATTATACACTTAATTTGTTTAATTTAACACTGTTTAAAAGATATTCAATATAAAATTTTAAAATATACAGATAATTTAGTCTACAGAAGAATGCTTTTTTATATATATGTGATTAAATTTTATCTAAATAATTATATATGTATATATATACACACAATATATTATAATTAAAATTAATAATAAATAAATATTTTAAATATATAAATTATATTTTAGAATTATATTAAAATTAATATTATGGTATAAGATTATTTTTAACTATTGATAATATTTTTAAAAATAAATTTAATATAAGTTAAAAATTAATATATATATATATATATATATGTGTGTGTATTAAAAATATAATAAGTTAAGAAATTTCTTAAAAATAATTTTGTTATAAAAAAAATGCCAAAATACTCTTATCGAAGAATAAATACTTTTTAAAATATAATTAAATTAATAATAAATAAATAAATATAACAAAACAAAACAACTATTTGTTATTAAATATCAATTACCCAAATGAAAACTTAAATAGAAATTATTATAAATAAGTAATAAATTTGAATTTAGTTATTGGCATGAAATTTAAAATCAAATCGAATGTTATCATATGAATAAAAGATATTTAAATTAAGATAAAATTTATGAAGCAATGAAGAATTAAAAGGAAAAATATATATAAAAAATATATTTTTTAAATATAAAACATAAAAAAATCATAAACAATAAAGGTTAAAATATATTTACTTAAAAAAAAAGACAAAAATGCAACACTATGAATTTTTTATGTTTTAATTTAGTTATATAAATTATTTTTTTTAGTTGTTAGTGTTGTTGTTTTAGAACTTTAAAGTTATCAGACTTTAAGGGTTAGGGTGTTTCTGAGATAGTCTCAAACATAGCTATATAAGTTGACTCAGCTCATAAAAGGGTATATTAAAATTTTTTTAAGATATGAATTTCATAAGTTCATGTTTTTAGAAAATCCTAGAGATAAATTAGTGAGGAGTTTTCTTGAGCTTCCCCATTTTTCTAAACTAAAATCATTCTATTATCCCTTGTCTTGTAGCTGAATCACTTGACTAGGACGATATTCAAAGCTTAAGGAGTTGAAGATCTCAAGTTGGAACTATGTGGAGAGTTTTTTCTTCTTCCTCTTCTCTTATCTTTGGAGTGACTATTGGTAAGGGAAGTTTTATGGTTTGAATCTTTGATGTTAAATGCTTATTTTTATGGTCTAAATTCATCAATTGTATGTTTGAATCAATGAAGATTATGAATTAAATTTGTTGTAAAGGAGTAACCTTAAATGGTGTTCTTGGGTTAATTGGTTGAATCTAGATATTGAGATGGTTGCATGCATGTGTTTTAAATTGTTTTAGTGTTGTTTGTGGTATTTATTATATATATTGGAATGCATGTTGGATTCTTTCTACATTTCAACTAGATTGGACAAAATCAAGTTTTGCATAAGTGCAAAAATTGATATCATGTTAGGTGTGCCTTCATTGTAACACTCTGATTTTCACATATTATATGAAGGCTCAAAGCCTAATAAGGGTGATTTAGTAGCCCAAAACGGGCCGTTCCCAAACTATAACGGACCGTTCCAAACTACTAAAAAGGCTTATAGCCCTAGTTGGGAACGAGCCGTTCTGGTTTAAGAACAGGTCGTTCCAAACATGGTCGTTATGTGTTAAAACGCAACTCTAGGACGGGCCATTCTGTTTAAGAACGGGTCATTCTAGATGTAAATTTTACACATGACGAATGAGTCCAGAACGGGCCATTCCGGATTTGAAACGAACCATTCTGGCCACTTCTTAAATATATAAATAGCAAACTCTGGCATTGTTCCTAGACACACTCTCTGAAGACCAAGGAGAACGAAGAGAAGGAGATCAATCAGATTCTGCTCTAGCTTCGTCTTCTGCTTATCCAGGTAAGGGAGGAGTGAGAAACCTCGCTCGGGGGTGTGAGAATAATTTTTGGGTAGTAGGATTGACCCCCAATCTCTTGCCTGATGTATGCTTCTAGGAACAGACAAAATATAAATGTTTTCTGTTTTGCCTTCTAATTGTTCTGTTGTGATCCTTGTTGGATGTGATGTATGAATATGTGATTAATTTTGAAAATAAACAAGTTTTGATATGAATTAGAGTGCTCTGTGGGTTCCTGTGCGAAATCTTATGAGGAACAATTATGAGTATGACTATGTGAAATGTGAACAAATGACATGAGACATGATGTGAATATGACATGATAAGTGAAATGTTGAGTCGATGAAATAATATGAATGTGTGACATGCATCATGTGCATAAATGATTTATTCCAGGTGTGCCACTTAGGCCTCATACCAGTGATGTAACAAGCTATGTGATGAAATGATTTATTCCAAGTGTACCGCTTAGGTCGCATACCAATGATGTAACAAGCTATGTGATGAATTGATTTATTCCAGGTCTGCTGCTTAGGCCGCATATCAATGATGTAACAAGCTATGTGATGAAATGATTTATTCCAAGTGTGTCGCTTAGACCGCATACTAGTGATGTAACAAGTTATGTGATGAAATGATTTATTCCAGGTGTGTTGCTTAGGCCGCATACTAGTGATGTAACAAGCTATGTCATGAAATGACTTATTCTAGGTGTGTCGCTTAGGCCCCATACCAGTGATGTAACAAACTATTCTCGGTGTACCTTAGGTCATCAGTGATGAAATGATGAGAAATGTGAAACTTTCGTATGGCGCCACATGCATGCATTTATGAGTCGAGATGACATCATTACATGATAAATGAGTGTGCATGTGATATTGATTGTGTATGTGTATTGTTTACATGTGATTTGTGTTTGTGCCTTATGTTTGTTGTGTGTGTTATCTAACATTTATTTCTACACCTGAACCTAAGTGAGATGTTTCTCACTCCCTTGTTGTTCTTTGTATGTGTTTAAATTGTGTTGTAGGTGATCATCAGCATGAGGATGTTGGTGATGAGGCTTAGGCTTCAATTGGGCATGCTTTGATAGGATATGTGACATCGGAGCATAGCTAGGCTTAGTTTAGGATGCTATATTTCCATTAAACTATTTGAAAACTCAGTTTTATTTCTTTATAATTTCACTAACATGTTATTTGGATTAAGTTTATGAATGTGAACTCTTTACCCTTATGTGGTTGGAGATTTGTTTTTTCAGTGATGAAGAATTTTATTTTTATAATTATTGTATATGTATGTTGGGGTAGAGAGTGTCATATTCATGGTATTAGGCGTGATTCGAAGTCAAAGGTTCTCATTTTCTTGATGTCGAACATAAGATTGGTGGCACTGAGTGTGAGGAGAGGGAATAGTGTCTAACTTGATCACGTCGGGCATAGATTTGAATGGTGTTGGGTGTGATGAGAGAGAATCATCTTTGCATGGATCCACATCAAGTGCTAATGGAGTGACATCGGGCGTGAATCAAGCATAGACCCACTACCTGATTGGAATCAAGCATGAGCTTTGCCATAGTAGGCACGAGAGAATGGAAGGCTCTTTGCCTTAACCACGTTAGGTACAAGTAGTTTGGCGTCAAATGTGGACGAGACATGAAGTCCTCTACCTTAATGGTGTCGAGCACCTGGTAGATGGCGTTGGGCATGAGTTGCTTGATTTGAAAGATGATGTTAAGTTGATTTAATGTTGACAGATGATGAAATGTTGTATGAGGATAGCTCATTATGCATTGGTTTGAGATAATGTATAATGATGTTTATGCTATTAAGATGTAAGTTGATAGATGTATAAGTTGTGAAGTTGTATGATACTATAGTTGATTAAGATGTTAAGTTGTTAAGCATGTGATATTGATACATGTCTTTGTTAAGATACATAAAAATTAGAGGAAAGTCAAAATATTTTAGAAATTAAAATATCTAATGGTGTGAATATAAGTTATGGTGCTCTAAAAGCTCAATTGAAACTAGTAAGTAAGTTGAGTTTTAAATAAGTAGTTATTTTTAAAATTGTCCCCTCTAGATTTTATATAGTATCTATATGTGGGTAAGGTTAGGGACTTAGTCCCTAACCGAGTATTAGAGGAGCATAATATTTGGATAATAGTTAGTGGATTAATCCAATAGGTAGCTTAATGTTATAAGCTAATGTCGTAGTAGGATCATACCCAAATTGTTCTACCTTAACAAAGTACTAGACTTCTTAATTTAAGTGACAACACTTGAGAAATCAAAATAAGTTGTTAAGTAGGTTTTTTTGAAAAGCCTGAATTTGTCTATACCTAACATGTTTATAATAGGTCAAACGTTATTGTTCGATGTGTTTAGTCATTTAAACTACTCACTTTTACTGTAAGAGATCTTTGTAGTTGATATACGTGATGACATATTAGTTGCTTATTGTTGTCTATGTTGATGGTGTTGTAATGTTGAAGTTGTTAAAGATGTGTTGTATTGTAAGTGATATGTGGTAAATTGAATATAAGTTGAAGTTGTGTTGTTCAAATGACTGTTGTTATTTAAGTTGTTGTCGTACATGTTGAATTCTTTTACAAGTTTATCCTGTATTTTCCTTGTGGTTAAAATTGCAATGATCATACTTTGCATGAGAATAGGATATGATTAGTAGGATGACTTGGTTAGTTGGTGGAGGGTCACATTGGTGGTGGCTTGATTTTGTATAGATGTCTGGTCACAAGTAGGGTTTATTTTGTATACAATAATTATGTATCTGATATAGATTATGTTTTATATTTTCTACTCTATACATGTATAGATTATATGATTGTCTATATAACAGTTGCATGATAATCCTAGGTTAGTTGTATGTTGTTTAATCTTTCCGTCGTGTAATAGCTAAATTATAGTAAGTGTAATGACCTGTCAAATTGTTATAAAAAATATTAAAAACTTTTTTGTTAATTTATCACAACTCTAGTCGTAAATTGTAACAATTTTTTTAGGTATTATAAAAAAAATTCTACAATTTATTATTGAAACGTCTTTCTCCTAATTCTCAACTTAATTATTTAATATTTATTTCATAAATCAACCAAATTAATTATCTTGGTTATTGGATTGTTTTTTGTACAATAATGATTTTTTTATTATATAAAATCAAGTTAATATATAACAAGTTATTCATCGAGCAATATTTGTATACCTATTACATAATTTGAAGTTGCTATACAAATATTATTATAAAATTCTTATCATTTATAATTTAAATTTTGAAACCATACCAGGTAAAGTAATCACACTAAAGTTAGATATATTCATACAAAAAGTGATTTTTTTGTACATCAAAATTATATATAACTAATATTGACATCTAGATGAGGAAAAATTCTTATTTTAATACAAAATTTTCTTTTTACTTATACTAACAGATTTACATCCCAGATTGATATAGAGTTACTATATGATTGACATGGTTAGTAGGGATAGATAATATGTAACTACCATAGGACCATTAATATATATATATATATATATTTGGGAGAGAAAGAAGCTCACGGACCCAGAGTCATTCTCTCTAAAACTTTTCTCTAAGTTTCTTTGAGAATGAACTTATGAAGTCCCCTTCTCAGAAAAACCCTTATATATTGTCCTTTCTAGAGTCAACTAAACTCTAAAATCTACTCACTACGTCACATTTACTTATACTAACAGATTCACATCCTAGGTTGTTATAAAGTTACTATAGGATTGACATGGTTAGTAGGGGGTAGGTAGTATGTGACCACCATTAGACCATATATATATATCGAAACTTGTTGATTTGGTACAAATACGAAGGAAGATAACTCAATGCTCTGGAACATCACTAAATTTCCAATAGCATCTATCGTCCAATTGATACCAGGAAATACAATCAAAGTAACTGTAGTGAAAGGTTCAGGTATAATTGGTAGATCCATTTCTTTAAGATTTTAAAAGATACGTACATATATTAAGAACAAATAAACAAGAAACACAAAATAATGTAGTGAGAACATTTATCAAATAAAATTAATTAATTAAGAATATATACAAATATTTGGATATCACTATAAATCACTAATTTAGAATTTTTACTCTATGGAGGGATTTGAATTGTTTTTGTAGTGGTTAATCTGGATAAATGAGCTTAATCACGGTACCAAATAATACAATGATATTTCATCTTAAATATTTATTCATTTAAATCCCCAAAATTAAACTTCCAACTATAAATTAATTCAAACCTATTGATAATTTATTATAAGGAATTAAAATTTACATTTACTACTATTTAAAAATGAGGGGGGTTATAATTACACTGGTGTAACTTTTAGCAAGTGTTACACCACTCAATAACTTTATATTAAATGTGAATTTTGTAAATCCAACCGTTAGATTGAAAGTTCATATCATTTTATATGTGTATATCAAATTTTGTTAAAATTGAACAACAATTTGAAGGTGATCAAAATGTTCATATTTTAGTATATTTTGAAATGAATATATTATTTCAATTTTTTTTTATAAAAATGAAGTATCAAATCATCTTGGATTAATATAAAATTTTGTATATATGATCTAAGAGATATGAACTTTCAATCTAACGGTTGGATTTACAAAATTCGCATTTAATATAAAGTTATTAAGCAGTGTAATACTTAGTAAAAGTTACACCGGTGTTATTATAACCCCTCTTTAAAGATATATATATATATATATATATATATAATCAATTAAATAATAGTAACTAGATAATAAAGTTAGAAATATATTTAAACTAAAACAATGATAGTTAAGATTAATAGAAAATAATTAAATAAAATGAATTATAGACACCTCATTAATTAATTAAAGTTAAAATTAACATACATTGAATAAGTAAGATGAAATTATGATACCTCAACAAATAAATATAGATAAGAATGACTTAAAGTAGACAACTAAAATAATATAAAATTTTAAAGAGATAAAAGTCTTCTTCTCTATACCTTAATAGAAAAGTGAAACCGAGTAAAATAAATTTTTTCCCATTTTTTCTTCCTCTTGTTCTTTCTTTCTCTTTTTTTTCTTCTTAATTCTCTTTCACTCTCTCTTATGTTCTCTTATTCATTCATTCTTTCACATAATCTAATGGTCCCCACCCATGCCTGTTTATGGACAATTTTGTAATGATTATCATTAGTTGAATTCTAATGATATATATTTTAGTTATTTTATATTTACATGAGCTAGTTATTCTACATTAAATATTTTGGATAAACATTATCTTATTCTACTGAAACAATCTTGTAGCAGAAATTTTTCTACAAAATTATATTATTATTATAATTACTACTATATTTAGAGTTTCTATTTTAATAGTTATATATATGTTTTTATATATTGATATATTTATAAAACAATATTAATACTTCATAATAATTAATTATTATTGATGTTTATTTATTTATCTAATAATGTAATTAAATATTGTATTAAAAATTTAAAATATTATAATTATGATATTAGTACAAAATATTCACCGAAATAGTAACTAATTTTTGATGGGATAATCAACACAAACAAAATAAATATTTTCCTCTTGACATAATCTACTCCATACTCAAATTTAAGATTCAAACCTTAAACATATTATCAAGAAACTAAAACTATTAAGTATTAACTATCATTTATAACAAATAACAACAGTATCATTTATAACAAATAACAACGGTCATTTATGTCATTTAAGAGTGAAGTAAATGTGACTAATTAATACATGAATCAAACATGCTTAATATAAAAAAAATTAAGCAAATAAATTTGAACAATTAAAAAAAAAAATTGTACAGCATGGATTATTGGGACCACAATTAAGCCAAGGAATGGCAGTTAATGTCTAAATTCTTTAGGGGATAAACATAATCACGCATGTCGCTTTGATAATTAATCTGAGGAAGATTTTAACTAATTAATTACTATAAATCTACAAACAGATACTGTTATAATGTAACAACGTATCATTCCGTGATCAGAAAAAAAATAAAATAAATAATAACAACAAAATTCTGGTATAGTATATTCAGACATCAAGAATATTAATTTTGAATTAAATCCAAATTTCATGTGATTAATTAAAATTGAATTTGAATATAATTTTAATTATATTAGTTACCAAAAAAAAATCTAGCAGACCCCAAAAAAGAGTGTCACTAAATTCTGTCTTTAATACTAAGTGAGAGTGCTCCGTCTCAATCCGAAGGAAAAAAAGGACCGACAACGGCAGACTGTACAACAACATTCAGAAAACGAAACAAGACAGTCGTGCTCTGCACAAAACAACACAATTTCATGTTTTCCTCTTTTCTTTCCCAAATTCACTGTATTCAACTTTGGGTGAAATCAGTGTGAGAGAGAGGGTGTGGAATGCAGAGACGCAAGTGGATTCCGTTGGCGCTGCTCAGAAAGTTCCTCATTGCAGCCATATGCTTCATAGCGTTTATCGCTCTCTTCTCTGCGCGCGTACACATTGTCCCTTCCTCTAAGGATCACAGGTTCAACGACAAGATCTCCACGGTTTGTTTCTTTTCTTATTCATTTCCCTCATCAAATTTTTCAATAAATAACTTTAGGGTCACATTGGTAGTTCTTTGATTTTTTCTTCCTTGATCCTTTCCAACACTTGTTGTTGTTGTTATTATTATTATAACCAGCAAAGTATTATTAATTTACGGGTACAATTTGGGTTTATTTTAGGGTTTTTCTGTTGTCACTGTTATTTTCAGTACTTTGTGGACTTGAAGACATCCATTTAGAGTAACTAATCTAAAAGCAGCACTTTGGTTTATGTTTTTTATTTTTATTTTTTGTGTCTCTGTGTGTGTATCGGAGTATATTTTGGGAATTCTGTATTTGGTAATATCAATTGATGTGTTACTAACCTTAGTGATTTAAATTTTTCATTTGATTTTCAAATTTTGACAGCCTCAGGATCTGCAAAGCTGGACGCGAGAGCTCGCTCCACCTCATTTATCCAAGGCTCCACTTCCTACTCCCAAGGTTTTGTGCTTCACGCCAACACTGTTGAGCTCATATCTAATGTTTATGAATATCATATAATGTGTAATTTTGTGACGTAAAAACTTGTTTGATTTGGTTTCTTCACATGTCTAGAGAGGTTAGTGTGTTATGTATATAAGAAGATATATGTTTAAAATTTTGAATTTTGCGAAGCAGTTATGTGCCATTTATGTTTTCGCTCCTTTTGATTTGACAGTTAAATGGTTCAAGAGGGTCTTTAGATTATCAGAAGCTGTGGAAGCCTCCATCAAATCGTGGGTTTCTGCCCTGTACAAATCCTACACCTAATTACACCAGTAAGGAACTTGAACTTTCCTAGTTGGTTGCAAGAACGAATTATTGTGGTACTTAAAAGTGATAAATGTTTGTTCAGCTCCTGCCAAGTCGCGAGGATATCTTTTAGTTCATACAAATGGTGGACTCAACCAAATGCGTTCTGGGGTCAGACCTCTCTCTCTCTTACATTAAATTATATTTATATTATTAGTATTAAGGTAATGCTATTATATGTTGAAAATATTATTAGTATTAATTGAATGCTATTTTATGTTGAAAATTTTTCTTGCTTTATTGATTGTTATGCTGATGGATGGAAATATATTCGAAATAGGACCATGGAATATTGAATTTGTCAATTTAAGATGTCCCATTGCATTGTTGTTAGTAGCTGAAGATTTGTTCCCTTTACCGCAGATATGTGATATGGTAGCAGTAGCTCGTATCATAAATGCCACTCTTGTTATTCCAGAACTTGATAAAAGATCATTCTGGCAAGATACTAGGTATTTTTCAATTCTGCTTTTTACTATTATTTTAATTTTATGCCTTCTCTCTCTGTATTGGATTTCACTAAATTGAATTTTATAATTTTCTTTTCAGCAATTTCTCTGATATTTTTGATGAAGAGCATTTTATGTATTCTCTAGCTAATGATGTAAAAATCATTAAGAAGCTTCCCCAAGATCTGGTTAACGTAACCAGAGTGGTCAAGCAATTCATAAGCTGGTCTGGCATGGATTACTATGAGAATGAGATTGCTAGCTTGTGGGAAAATTACCAAGTATGTATGTTGGAAGTCTATTGTTTTATGCAGTTCTAAGTTTCTTTTTATTTGCCTTATTTTGTAACATTGTGAAATCATCTAATTATTTATAACATCTTAAGGTTATTCGAGCTTCTAAATCTGATTCACGATTAGCAAACAACAATCTACCTCCAGACATTCAGAAGCTTCGCTGCCGAGCTTGTTATGAAGCTCTTCGCTTCTCTCCTCACATTGAACAAATGGGAAAAGTATATAAAGGGATCTTAACTCTTAATGGTTTCTTTGTTTTTAATCTCCTACTTGAGCCAGAACTCTAGGATTGTTTTTTATTTATCATTCTTTTATATTTTGTGGGTTCTTGTAGTTGTTGGTGGAGAGGATGAGGTCATTTGGTCCTTATATTGCATTGCATTTGCGTTACGAGAAGGATATGCTTGCATTTAGTGGGTGCACACATGATTTATCTCCTGTTGAAGCTGAAGAGCTACGGATGATCAGGTATGAAACTGTGATACTTCAAAATGATTTATTGAATGTCATGTCTAATGTCTTTTTTGAATATGATATTTGAAAATTATTGTGTGCAAAACATGTAGAGAGAACATTTCATATTGGAAAATAAAAGACATTGATCCAATAGAACAGAGGTCCAAAGGGCTTTGCCCCTTAACTCCAAAGGAAGTTGGGATTTTTCTCACTGCCCTTGGATACCCATCAACAACTCCAATATACATTGCTGCTGGAGAGATATATGGGGGTGAGTCTCATATGGTTGAACTGCGTTCCCGCTATCCATTGTTAATGAGCAAGGTAGGAAATGCAATACTATGTTTCACTATAATGTTGACGTTTGATATAGGCTCCTCTTTTTCAATCATTTTTAGTAATGAAGTCTGATCAAAATTAGTATTTTCTGTTTCTGATCAAGATCAGCTTGTAACTTAAGTTGATGATATATTAACTAATAAATTAAGGTTTTTCAGGGAAGGTTATATAATGTCATGTTCTCATCCCTTACCTTTATTTAGTTGAAAAGAAACCAGTGTCAAAATGATAAGATGTATGGACTAGGAAACCTAAAATAAGAAGATCATCCCTTCCCACGTTGTTTAAATGCCTGGGGACTTGGAAGCTTTACATCATAAGTAGGACACTATATGGTTAGTAACATATAGTGTTTGATTAAGCTCATGCTTATATTAAATTACATAGATGCCATCATGATTTCAATCAGAGGTTTCTATTTTATGGGGGAAATATTCTATCAAAAGTAGGCACTGACCTTTTGGCAACAAGTTTAAATTGTCTGATGTTAATTCGTTATGAGTAAACAATTTCTAGAGTAGTCTACGGCCATAATACAGTGCTAAAAAGCACCAGGGTTGAGCTGGATTATAAAGGACTGATTATCATAACTTTTCTGTTATTACAAAAACTACTGAAAAATAATTGCTCCATTGTTTGTGATTAAAAAACTTTACTTTTCTCTTCTTGGTTTCTAATAGCTTCTTTTACTCACTCATGCAATAACAGTCAATTAAAGAGGAAGATAATGTTTACTGTTATGATCAACTAACCTAATAAAAAAGCTGAATCCTGCTTTTCTGGGCAATAGAAGCTTGCCGAGAAGCATCAGTATCGTGTTGAGTAACCTAACCTACCTGTGATTATTTTCAGGAAAAATTGGCATCCATAGAAGAGCTTGAACCCTTTTCTAACCATGCATCCCAAATGGCTGCTCTTGACTATATTGTATCTATTGAAAGTGATGTATTTATACCTTCTTATTCTGGAAACATGGCAAAGGCTGTTGAGGGTCATCGACGTTTTCTTGGACGTGGAAGAACAATATCTCCAGACAAGTAAGGCTGTCATTTTCTTCAAGTTGCAGTCAACTTCTATTTATTTATCTATGTATTTATCTTTTACAAATCTGTTCTGTCTGTCCTCTCATTTTAATTAGGAAAGCCCTTGTTCGTCTGTTCGATAAACTAGATCAGGGAATAATGACTGAGGGGAAGAAACTATCAAATAGGATTATTGATCTCCACAGAAGACGGTATGTGATTGGAAAAGCCTTTAGTGTAGGTTTTAATTAATTTTATGGATGTCAAAATATGTATATAAGTATATATTTGTGTTTATGATTCTTTCACATTTTGTAATTATTGTTCAGTTGTTCTACATCTCCCCTTTTTACACGATTGTATTATATCATAATCATAAATGATAAATCTACTTGCCATGATTATTAGTAATTCTTGGCACATGTCCTCTCCATAGACCATTAGTAAAAACAGGTCATTTGATTTGCTTTGTATGGAACATGACCCAACTATCCTCACAACCTAGGCTATGTCTATTTTAAGAAACTTGATATCAAGCTTCATTGATCGAGTAGTAGCCAATCACTGACGGCAGGGTAGCAGGGATGATATATATTTTTTCTTCTGGGAAATGGTCATTCAAGTACATGACATGTGGATTTTGTTCCTCGTTTAACCTATTAAAGAATCTGTTTCTACATTTCTTGTTTTTATAATATATATACTGATCACAGGGTGAACCTCTATTTGATTTTTCATTTGTTACATGTGTTGCACAGACTTGGCTCTCCCAGGAAGAGAAAGGGGCCAATTTCTGGAACAAAGGGCATGGAAAGGTTTCGCTCAGAAGAGACCTTTTATGCTAATCCCTTGCCTGATTGTTTATGCCAGACAGAACCACCACCTCTAAACATTTCTCGTACTGTTTGATAGATCAGATATTGCTGAACTTTCTCCTTGGAAATGGTGGCGCACGTGTAAATCATTTAGCAAAGTTTGAGCAAAAGATCTGATGAGTGCAGCGGGAAGGTGTGGTACTGTGGTGGCAGAGTGTACATACCGGTATCCCTGTTACACGTACCCTTTAATTTGGGGGGTAAAAATAATGGAAATGAAAAAGAAAGGAAAAAAAAACAAAACCATATTTGGGTTTTGATATAAAAAAATTATAGATTGGGATGAGTAGTTCTTGGGTCTAGGGTAGGATGGAGATTTGAGATGACTGGATTGGTTTGTTATTTGAAGATGACTTAATTATGAAGACAGGTAGAGATTTCAGATACGGCCAGGGATCTCAATCACCCGTTATTGTATTTCTTCTTGAGAAATCTTACATAGTTCCACATTTTTGTAAGACAACAAAATCTAGCATTATTTTATTTTTACTTCTGGCGTACTTTTATTTATTTATTTATTGGGGAGAGCGGGGAAAATGCGGCAGAACTTTATCTGTCGTTTGGAAGAATGCAGATAATTTTATATTTTTATCTATCTTTTGCAAACAGAAACTTAAATTTGTTGAAGAGCAGACTTCCTCAGGAGTCATAACAGCCTGCAGGGTAAATTAGAAAAGAAAATGGTTTCGATTTTTTTTTTTTTCCAGTTTCAATTCTAACATGGTATTTTTGCAATTATAGTTGTATACTTGTATGTACAAGGAATCTTGCTAGAGTATTTTTAAAAGTTTTTTTTATACTAAAAATAGAGTATTTTTTAATGAAGAAATTTTTGGAAGTGATTTTAAGTTTGTATTCAAATAATATACTATATTACTAATTTAAACTTAATATTGGTTAATTGATTATTTTAAAAACAAAACAACTGTAATGAAGAAAAATATAAGAGTGAGAAATGTATTACACTATCTCTCCTTTTATATTAAAATATATAATTTAATTCATTAAATTAACTTCACTAAGATGATTTACACTTTTTTTAGAGATCAATAATTTACTGCTGTCCTTTCATATGTTAGCATGCAAAATAAAATATATTTTTCTTTGTTAAGAGATGTGAGTATTAAGATGTCATTCTTTTTATACTAAAATATTTAATTTAGTTTATTTAACTTAACATTAATTTAAAATATTTATAAAAGGATTTTTAAAATATATTTAATTAAAATATTTTTATTTTATCAAGTTACCATTTACTCAATTGATACATTTTTTGTAAAATATATAATTAAATTTAATAATTTATTAAAATAACAATTCAAATTAATATTATTCCTTTGGAACCATAATTTTTTTGATGATTTAGACTTTTCTGTTTCAAATTTTTGATGTTTTACACATTTCAAGTGATAGTTACTTTTTTTACATGTACCTTTTCTTCATAATTAATATTCTTACTCCATAACTATTCTTACTCTACATATTTTAAAATATTAAATGAGAGTATTTTAAATTTAATATTTTTTAATAAATTTTTAGACTCAATATACTAATATTCACATATTTATTAAGAGATATGCAAAAACTTTAAAAAGATAAAAATTATGATTTAGAGGGAGTGTGAGATAATAGAATTTTAATTCTAGATATACTAGTTTAACTATCCAAATGTGTAATGTTACACATACAACAAAAAATTGTATAACATTAATTTTGTATTTATTCCCTTTTATCATTTTATTTATGATGAAAAGAGATATTATGAATGATAGATAGAGATAAACACAAAAATAACATTATATAAGTTATTATATAATATATATATATTTTTAATTACTCTAATTCAACAATCCTAGGCCATCCGGGTTTTCTCCCTACTTTCTCGTAATTATTTCCGATTTCTCATTGATTTTGGATCTTTATGGTGCCAACTCAACAACTTTGAACATTAGAATTTAGAAGGCATGCAAAGAAGGAAAATTGCGATTTGTGAGGACTAAATTATATGAACCAACGGTTTACAAGCTGTCGCGTAGTTGGATTTAAGGTCTTCTTCTTCACATTCATAGCTAATCTATAAATATTTCTATGCGCGTTTTTAATTTTTAGTCTTGAAAACTGCCCTGGTCTAAAGAATCTAGGGGACCAATTCTTATTTTTTTTCTTCTTAAATATAAATAAAAAGGGATTTTTACAATTAAAATGAATTTTAAGTAATTAAATGGCTCGCCCTTTCCCGTTCATGTGTGAACGAAATCCATTCAACAAAAAAAAAATTATGATCGAAATTAAGTTTTTAGTTATCTAGCAAATTTATAATTTATATTTTTTAAATAAGTCTCTTATAAAATATTTTATTATTAAATAGTTATTTGTTTGTTCATTTTATAAATAACACAAATTTTCTTTTTAAACTCTTGTTTTAAGAGTACCAAGTAAGATCCGTGAAACACGTAATCACTTAATATATAAGGTTTATATTTATAAGATACTTGTAGTTTATATCAAGATAAAAAATATTAAGTAAGAAACTTATAACATTGAAATATTTATATAAAATTAAAAGAAAAAACTTCAAATACATTTTAAAGGAATAAAAAATGAAAATTAAATTCTAAAACTAAACTATTTGATAAAAATATTTTATTACTTAGAAAAAATTAACAGTGAGTGTTCATATAGAAAGATCAAGATTTTCTTTTTTTTGTTGTTGAATAAAATCATAATTGAGCCAAGACACTTTAAAGGCTCATCCTCTAACAATAAATTCACGAATCATGACCAAGTATATAAATAATGAGCAAAGATTTTAAAATTACTGCAAAGTCACCGTGAAATTCGTAACCTGGAGAAAATTTTGTTTGATGTTGCAGTCGCATATTAGATTCGAAGATTGATTTCGAGAACATTCTTTTAAAACCCAAACGACATTCACATTTTGTAAGGGAGAAAATGTACATATACTGGGAGGTAACCGACCTGACCGATTACAAGGCTTGGCCGATCAGAACGATCACGCCGAGCACGACCGCTTGGGTGGTGTTAGTACCAGAAAATGAATTCGGAGATACTCGAAATACATGGGTGCTCGAAATCTTAGGTGATCGAAAAATAGCAAAGAAGTTTCTGAAAAAGGCATACGAAGCCCGAAGAGAATCAAGAGATATGCGAAGACATGTTTCGTGAAACTCTCGAAATTCTCGAACCGGGAAGGATGCTGCTCAGGAGAAAGGCTCACAACCTCGCAACCTCTCAAAGTACAAGGAAAATCAGGAAACACTCAAGTATATTTTTCGTTGGTTACTCGAAATCCCAAGGATCCGGACATACACGAATACACTTCGTAACCTCTCAGAATGAAGAGCTTAAAGGAGACATGATTTAAGAGCGGTGTTGAAGTAAATCATGGGATAAGTGTCAAAGGATGCAGAACGGTTTGGGGAAGTTAATGAGCAGTTCCAAGAGTTATCCAAAGACATGCCCGGGAATAAGCCACGATGCGGAAGTTTAGAACGGTTATGCACTTCCGAGGCACGTCAGAAATAGTTACCTTTCCCAAATCTTTGTCTATAAATTAAACGAGCCATGCTCGTAGCAAAGGGGGTCAGAAATCTAATTCCCACAATACCTCACACGCACTTCGCAGCCTGCGCATATAAGGCATACTGTGCATACGAGACAACTTTGGGTACGATTTCTCGACCACTTTTCTTTTTCCTTTTTAGGAGTAGCGTAGCATAGCATAATCTAACCTAGTGTAGTGCAGTCATTCTGAACATGTTTTGTTATCCTTACGAATTGTAATTTTGTTACCATTTAATGAAGGATATGATTTCTGCAATCAATATACATGTCATCTATTCGATTCACGTTAATTCTTATATGCATGAATTTGATTGTACAATTAGCATAGATCTTCTGATGTGCTGAAATAAGCATAGATCTTCTGACGTGCTAAAAATAGCATAGATCTTCTGACGTACTCGAAAACATGAGCATAGATCTTCTGAAGTGCTAAAACCTGCATAGATCTTCTAAAGTGCTCGAACAATGAGCATAGATCTTCTAACCTGCTGAAACAACACCCTAATTTAACTCTATTTTCTGTTTATACGATTTATTCTTTCACTAAAAGTCTTCGATTATGTCCTGTCACGAACACGCATAAATTGAAACGTGAACTCGTGCTAGTTCGAATAAAAAGAATCTACGAACGAAATCCTCCATAAACAAATTGGCACGCCCGGTGGGACTTGTTTGGTGAGCTTAATCGAACTAAGTGAACTAGTTTTGTGTGTGTTTAATTTTTATAAGACTTAGAAGTGGGAGAACTATGTCTACATCCAGCAGAAGAGATGCGCTTAATGAAGAACAGGGTAATGGAGAAAATCGGAATACAAATCAAGAAAATGTGCCAAATGAGACTAGGGGGGCAATGTCTCCACCTCCTGTAAATATTCCGAACTACGCGGGATTTTTGAATGCGTCACAAGAAATGGTGAACGCTACCCGCGAATACCCATGGGGGATGCCTCCGAATTGGAGAAGTACCCAACCCATGAGCGTAGAAATGCCAATACCATATTCTGGGCACAATCCTCAAATGCAAATATTATCATATGGGTATAATGCAGCCCCAAATGGGATGGGCTTTATCATGCACGATCCTCACTAGCATGAAGGGTCGTTGGTTCGACAAAGTAATTATATACCCACATGTATAAGCAATGAAGCCATGATAGCCCTTCGACAACAAATGGATCATAGTAACCACGATATGGTGAATTTGTTGTCTACACAAATGCACAACATACTCACACCCCTATACGAGCTGATGAGCAAAATAGGTGATAAAATTAATGATAATCGGCTCTCGAGAGATACGAGTGTGAATCTGAACGGCCTCGAAAATCCAACCGTCAATGAGACGAATATTCGAGAGATTAGAAATCGTATCAATCTCAATCAAGGGGGACCTCTGAGAAATGTCGAGGAAAATTTGGATCATATAGTCGAGAGGGTACTGAATAGGCATGAATTTGAAACAGGGCGAAATCAGCACCCATACTTTGTATCTGTCTTTCCTGACTATATTACCCAATCCGAGCTACCTAGGGGGATGAAAGTCCCGAAATTCTCGAAATTCGCAGGAAAGTTAAGTGAATCCACCGTAGAGCACATAGCGAGATATCTAGTTGAGTGCAGAGACCTAGTGGGTAATAAATATCTGGAAATGAAATATTTTCCAAGTTCACTAACCAAACATGCTTTTACGTGGTTTACGACTTTGCCACCTAATTCGATTATTACTTGGGCACGTACAATTAGAAAGGAGTTTCCATGAAAACTTTTTTCGAGAGGAAACCAAGGTGAGCATAGTTGATTTGATGAATATAAAGAGGCAACATCATGAGACATTGGACGAATATTTGAATAGATTTAGGCAACTAAAGTCTCGATGTTACACGAATATTCCAGAGCATGAGTTGGTAAAAATTGCAGCCACTGGGTTGGATTT